ACTGCGGCACAAATTGGAGGTCACAGGTCAAAGGTCAAGAGGTGTAAAAGAAGGGGGAACATTCTCTCCTTAACTTAAGGTATAGGGAGGAAATGCAGAACTGCGGCACAAATTGGAGGTCACAGGTCAAAGGTCAAGAGGTGTAAAAGAAGGGGGAACATTCTCTCCTTAACTTAAGGTATAGGGAGGAAATGCAGAACTGCGGCACAAATTGGAGGTCACAGGTCAAAGGTCAAGAGGTGTAAAAGAAGGGGGTACTACGTACGATGGGAGCTTCCATCTTTAATCTGAAGACACTTAAACGTACGCGCCATCTCGTGGCAACTTTCATAACGATCCCAACGAACATTCCTTTGAGAAGGTTCCTGATACCATCCCTGTGCATTCCACTGTTTCGGCGTTCCACTCCACCACAGAGTCACCGCAGTAGACGTTAGATGAGCGCTGTCGCTCCGCGGCACTTGTTGGATTAACCAATCGAAGGCATGATTTGAAGCAATTGATCAAATATGGCAGCGCCCGTGGTGTGGTTTGAACAGGTCACGTACAGTTCATACAGTGGTATGTTGCTGACAGATGGTTGCATTGTCGCCCGGTGCCGCACATGTGGCGATTTTTATCGACAGTACTTACTGTCGATAAAAATCACCAGTACTGTCGATAAAAATCGCCATGTGTGCGCCCGGCTTAACAATGGAGATATTTGCGTTTTCTACATTCTACGATCATTGAACATGTATCTGTGTTTAGAATTGACCACATGTACAATTGCTACTTATCTGTAGCTGATTACCATCAACAAACTTAAAAAAAAGTGTTTTTATAAATAACCTAACAAAAAAACTGATAATTTTAAATCTCCCGTTCGCCACCCACTAGTTAAGGCCACGCAGTGACGTTATCATCTCTATGTAAACAAACGCGCAGCAACAGCGTATTCAAAACAACTAACAGTGTTTCTGATTCGAATGCTGCGGTGGCACGCTGTGCATTCTGGAATAGCGTGCGCTATAATGACGTACTTATTGGGGCGTGAAATTAGCACCGGCCCACCGGCATATGCGGGCAAATTATTTGGAGGGCTGGTAGCATTGGCAAAACACCGGCCCTCCGAGCCGGTGGTTTCAGCCTGTGTTAGCGAGTACTTTCATTTTTAGCTCATCTGACATAGTCAGATGCAGCTTGTAGAATCACATGATTGTCCGTGCGTCCGTGCGTGCGTCCGTCCGTCCGTCAACAGTTGGGCACAAATCTTAACCGCTCGACGTACGGTCACGATATTCGAGACGTGGGAGGGTAATCCGAAAACGAGTTGGGATGTTGAAGCTGGGGGTGAAAGGTCAAGAGGTGTAAAAGAAGGGGGAACATTCCTTCCTTAACTTAAAGCCGCACTATGCGCATCCAAACGCTAATTTCTCCTGTACTAGACTAGCAAATACTTTGTGTCATGCATAATCACACTACCTTATGACAAAATAAACTCTAGTTCCTCCCATTTCACTGCGCGTTGTCTTATAAAAGGCATTTGAAAATACCTCCAATGTTGTTAAAGTTCTCCGATGTTGTTGACACTTTCGCGTTGCTCTGCCAAGCAACCGTGGAGCGGTGCTGCAGTACAGCGATACGGGTGTAGCAAAGATAAAAACATGTGACGTCACCTAACCGATTCTTGGCGAAATTGTTTGGCAAACAATTTAGCGTTGGCACCAGATTACCAGATTTCGCACCTCTTTCTTTTGGGGTTTAAGCAAACGCGCACTGAAATGCGAGGAACTAGAGTTTATTTTGCCATAAGGTAGTGTGATTATGCATGACACGAAGTATTTGCTAGTCTAGTACTGGAGAAATTAGCGTTTGGATGCGCATAGTGCGGCTTTAAGGTATAGGGCGGAAATGCAGAATTGCGGCACAAATCTAAACGGCTCGACCTATATAGGCTCGTGATAGTCGGTGTATAGCATCATGCCATGGTAGGAAAAGCCATCACTGTGCCGAAATTGGAGGTCACAGGTCAAAGGTCAATGGGGCACAGGGCAGATTTTAGACATTTTCTGAGGACATGGTCTGACGGAGCGATTGGAAAACTTTGTTTGTTTCAGCAGTGACCTATCATTTTTATGGCTTTATTGAAAGGACCATGAAATGTGCTTTCCACTGACGTGCGCAGATTAAGTGTCTGATAACCTTTTGACCTTCAAGAGGAGGGTTAAACATGGATTTGTTGACTGTTAACAAAGGACTGAACTGCTTTTGCTATTAGAGCCCTCTTCACCCGCCCTTCCCCCCACCCTCCTCCCCTCCCCCCCTCTCCCCCAACCCCTCCATCCCCCACCCTCCCCCACCACCACCACTACGCTTGCGCTCGATGCATATCCATGATAACGTTAATATAGCGAAGTCATTAAAGCTACACAGCTATATCTTTATTACTGTACTACCGGTATAACAAAGCCTAGCTATCGTAGATTTTAGATCTGTATTAGTAGTATCCTAGATATATGCTCTGAGCGCGAACGCG